TGTGTCACTCACTCACTATGGTCTACACTTATGGCCTTATTGCCCGTAATCTTTCATGACTTGAGAGAAGGGTGGGGAGGGGGGGGGTAAGGCAAGGTTGTTGGGGTTGCCTCTGTTGGGGTTATGGGGTTCGGGGTTATAGGTGTATGGGTTGGGGTTATGGGGTGGGGTTATAGGTGTATGGGTTGGGGTTATGGGGTTCGGGGTTATAGGTGTATGGGTTGGGGTTATGGGGTGGGGTTATAGGTGTATGGGTTGGGGTTATGGGGTTCGGGGTTATAGGTGTATGGGGTGGGGTTATAGGTGTATGGGTTGGGGAAAACAGATAAGATGAGGAAAACTAATAATAATTCGTCCTTAAAAAATAAAAAATAAGAAGGTTCGTATTTGTCACCTTCACAGTGCTACACAATTAATGTCTCACTATATAAAACAGTAAAGAAACAACGGTAGCTGACTTCACTGGCCTAAAGGAAGCTCTCTTTGGGTTTATACAGCTGGGCGGTTTTACACACACACACACACACACACACACACATTAAGTAAATGGTCAGGACGGTCTCCGCTGGTTTACCCTGATCCCTTTTCCTTCAATTCTCAGAAAGGCAACATTAATCATGCCATGTTTTTTTCTCATATTATTTTCCTTCAATTAACGTGTTTCATGGATGGTGTCTGTGTCGAAGGTAATAACAGTCTTAAAAGAAATATTGAATTTAATTTATTTGTATTGAATTAGGTGTTGTCAGAAGGTGTTGTCATAAGGTGTTGTCACAGGTGGATAATATTGGCGTCTCTGTTTTCGCTTCTGGATATAATTTTGTCATTTTTATTGATATATTTACGGAACTAAACAGGATAGAAATGTGTTTGTTTATTTGTGGTCGTGTGTGTGTGTGTGTGTGTGTGTGTGTGTGTGTGTGTGTGTGTGTGTGTCACGCTAAACAGTGATAATCGCCCGGTTAAGCCTCATGACGCAACCGACATTTTTGCCAAATAGGAATAAGTTTTATATTTTTATTGTTATAACTTAAGGAAAATTAGTTTATATATAACCAAATTTACTGTGCTAAGACGTTGTTTATCGTCATAGCGTAACCAAACTATACCTAAATTAGCTTAAGTAACACTAGATTACCTTAGATTATCTTAGTAATCACACTCGTCATTTGCAGTATTAAACAGCTACTTGTCACACGTATACACAACGCTGCACCAACGTGAAGGAATTTGTCTTAGTAACAGTGGCTTCAAGTTCTGCCAGACACTACTAGGTAAAGGTAGACTGATAAAGCCATGTAAGGAGCTGGAGATTTTGACCTGTGAGCCATTCCTGGATGCTTAGTGCTGACTAGTCGCCATTTGGAAAGTGTTTTTATTCAAGATATTAATCGTATGTAAGTCCTTTCATAATGAGGAACTTTGATTCTTACAATACTATATTAATCCGTAATGAACCAGGGGAAATACATGTGGCGATGTGTCCTCAGATGGTTAATAGGAGCGACGAGTGACCAATATTGATGCCAGTCTTGTCTTGTCCAACCAAAGGTAAGAGAGATGAAGAAGTACTGTATTATTTAGTTGTGTTATGAGAGATGAGTAACGGGATTATTATCAAAGAAATTTTAAGTTTTTGATCAAGAGAATTATGTGAAATGTCATAAAGTTCTATAGACGAGAATTGTTATGAGGAGTGAAGGAGATGAATAATGAGTTTCTACTGAGTGAATCATGTGTAGAGGTAATGCCAGCATGATAAAGAATATGTGTTGGGAATGAAGTTGAAGAGAGAGGGTGATGAAATAGAGCAGCTCATTAACAAGATGCAATAGTAAGTGGAATAAGTGGCGACACATATCGTCTGACACTGAGTAGAGGCGAGGAAGAAGAGCTAAGGGACTGGTTACTGATGATGTGAAAGACCTTTAGTTTGTATTGAGTACGATGCTTCTACCCACTCGTGCGACCAACACTCTACAGGGATGTTGTAAAGGGTGAGATGTTGTGGAGAAATACTGTTTGAATAAGCACAAATGAGGAGACAGTCTTAGGGATAAATGCTTTGTTATGTTAGGAATGTAGTGATTGAGGGTGCGGTTACTGGTGGAGTTACTAGTACTTATTATAAATATTTCGACTAAATATCTTAAATTTCCAGTTATTAATCATATAAAATAAAGTAAATGATAATGAATGTTGCAAGAAAAATAATTAAGATGTTTTTACCGCCAGTGAGTTTTTAACATGTAACCATGACATATTAATCTGGCGAAGTTCAATTATTATTTCGTAAAAGAGGCTGTAGAGCAGTTAATTACTTAATATTCTTTCCACTTTATCCGGGAAGGTCGTCAATATGGGTGGACATTATACACAAGTATCTCAGTAAGTGTGTGTATGTTCTCCGTGCATTATACAATTCCTTACTGTAATTAAAACGACATTTAACTTATATCTAATGCTGTTGATTGATAGTGAGACTTATCACCGATACTATCTATATCCAATAATATCACTATATCTTTGTGATGTTCTATATGTGATACAGAGAGAACGTAACGGCAGAGATAGAAATACATATTTAGTAAAATTAAATTTGGTGTTCACATAGTTTTAACATCTTTCATTTGACAATATTTTCCATTTGTTGTCTGGTCCGTTTTGAGTGAAACATTTAGTGGCCTTAGTCTGGCGACATCCAGTTTTTCGTTAGAATTTTAATATACCACCATGATACTTGATGAGCGGGAACACGTAAAAGAGATTAAATTACGTTGTCAAAGAGGCAGCAATGAAATGTGTTTCACGTTAGTATTTTGAGTGAACAAATGCATGACGTCCACTAACTGACACACACACACACACACACACACACACACACACACAGTGGTAGCCAGCCATGGTACACACGCCTGCATGAAGCAGTTGTCTTCTGTCCTGGGGAGGTCTGGGGGATGATGGCGGGAAGGGGGGAGGTCGATGACTCCAAATACTTTACATAGTTAGCTGGGCTGATAAGGCTCCAAGCTTTGTCTGTCAGCATTGATCTTGCCACGAGTCTCCTTTTATGCCATAAAAGACCAGAATTGTGGATGTAATAACTTTTTTATATTAAAGGATTACAGGAGTGTAATTGGGGGCAGAGAAATGGGTCAGGATTGCGAAATTGAGCCCTGAAGGTTAGCAAGTGGAGGTGGGAGGTGGCTGGGGGGAGAGGGTGATTGGGTGAGGAGGGAGGGTCTCGGGGGGGCAGAGCTACAGGAATTAAAGTCTTTCATCTCTATTCCTGGAGGTTATTAATCGAGTCACACACAAGTTGCCTCAAACACTGCGAAATACTGAGACTCGTGACAGGGAGAGAACGTAATACTGAGACTCTACCATGACAGGGAGAGAACGTAATACTGAGACTCTACCATGACAGGGAGAGAACGTAATACTGAGACTCTACCATGACAGGAAGAGAACGTAATACTGAGACTCTACCATGACAGGGAGAGAACGTAATACTGAGACTCTACCATGACAGGGAGAGAACGTAATACTGAGACTCTACCGTGACAGGGAGAGAACGTAATACTGAGACTCTACCATGACAGGGAGAGAACGTATAACAGAGAGAGAGAGAGAGAGAGAGAGAGAGAGAGAGAGAGAGAGAGAGAATTACCCCCAAATAATAATAATAATAATAATAATAATAATAATTACTTGCATATGTAACATTTTCGTTTGACAGCATTAAGTGTACCGTCGGGAATTTGGGTTTGTTGTTTGAGGTGGTCGGGAGGCCATTGCTCAGAACCTGTGTAGGAATTTTATTTTAATTATTTATTTATTTATTTATATTTTTAGATAAACTACAGCTATGTGATGATAAAACACATAGAAGGTTTCCATAATAATGAAAAAAAAAGAATGTATTGAATTTAGTTATACCACCACTACCACTATTACACTGCTTTTGTCACTATCACTACCACCAATACCTAATTGGAACCACCACCACTGTCATGACCTCCATCATTACCGGTATGGCTACTCTGACTATCATTCCCATCACTATTACCAGTACCACTACTACAACCACCACCAACACCACCACGAATTTGCAACTACTACTACTATTACCACCCCCACTATAACCACCACCACTACCACGACTGTAACCCTGAACTAAGAAGTGCCCTCCTCGACTTTCTATGTACTGTATCTAACTATATCATGTATGACACGAGGACTACCCTACACGACGCCTTAACAACATGTATTAAAAAAAATCACAAGAAATTGACCTGCATAATGATACTTCAGATGGGCCTTTTACCCTCGTCTGATTTGTGTAAGTTAAAAAAAATAAATAAATAAAAGCAATAGTTTTTTACAAGATATAAAAAAATAACTAAACAAGACTACGAAAAGTTGACCTTACAGCGATAAAATATAGTGTGAGACTCTTAAAGACACCAGATATTGTCGGAGGATTAGGAAATATACCACATTTTTCCTCAAAGTTGAGTCGCGTTTTTCTTAGGCTAAGTCCAATTTTACCCCTCAACTGATTCTATTTTTTTAGTTAAGTTTCATTTCTATTAAAGCCAGTTCTTATTTTCCCGAAAACTAAGTCTCATTTTTCCTAAACCAAGAGGTGGTTGAGGTAAAACATTTGGGAAAATATCTCGAAACTGGTGCGACATATCGACATTAATGATGTGAGAGTGAAAGTGAAGTCCAAGGCCTGACGGGCCTCGGGGTACAAGGCAGTGTGGCTGGTACTGCACTCGACCGCCTTTACTTTCGTAACTAGAAAGTCAGGTGTCCATTTACAGGTGAGTCGATTGGGGTGCACTGGTCGCGAACCAGCGACTCTTAGGACGAAAGGTGAGCGATGTATCTGCTTGGCCGCCTCTCAATTTAAGTGTAACCAACAGCTACTACCTCCCAAATTGTGAGAAAGTTTGAGAGTCTTACCCAAAGACTATAATAGCCTCTGGTCTTACCAATAATACAGCACTGCTGTAGAAGTGGGAGCAGGACCACCAGGAGCAGCACCAGTACAGCACTTGCAGTATGAGGAGCAACGGGAACAGCAGTTGTAGGAAGAGCAGCACCAGCAGCAGGGACAGCCCTAAGAGTGGGTGCGGCAGTCAACAGCAGCAAGGGAGCAGGAGCAGCAGAGGCGCGTGGAAGGGGCGGCGTCACTGGAGTTGACCCCGCGTGTAGTGTGGTGGACGGCGCGGAGCCTCGCGTGCGCCGTCGCTGACCCGGACCCTCCAAGACGCTAGGTCACGCTACACTCATGCTCAAGGCCCGGGTCTTCTCCTTCACGTATGGGATCTTCGACTGTAGAGGCAAGTGTGGAAAAGAGCTGTCGTGTCCTTAGATTTATAGTCGGCGGCGCGCGGGATATCACTGTGATGGTCTGTTTATATGAGACTGACGGATATATTGATCATGTTCGATATTTGTCGTGGCTGGTAAGATTCATACTTAGTATAATTAATGTTTCTGTTTATGTTCCATGCATTGTGCCGGCTAGCTTTTAGTTATTATCTGCAATTAAATTTATTAGCTGGACATAAGACGCAGATATGTGGATAATTGTGTAAGATAGCACACTATATTTACACACATGGTGATAATGCACCCAATGTGTATGACAGTAGCGTGAAGAGCAGGTGTAGCGTGCTGTGTTTAATGAACCTAATAGGAAGACGAGATACACCATCACGTCAGAGGAACATACAGTACGTGTTAAGGCGAAAATTAAAACTGGTGACGTCGAATTTTTCTCACCTGTAATAAAAACTTGTCATTCATTTTTCGCTCGTAGTCACTAAAAGTCTTTCAGGCGTTTGATGAGTTTATTGTCAGGCGGCCCCTTGGAGGTCAACAAAACCAGGTGTTGGCTGTTTTATGAGGCCATGATGCCAATATACCTGGCGTGTACCTGACACACACACACACACACCATGGTGAGGCAGGACACTGGGGGTGGTTCAGCAGAAGTCACAGTATACAGGTGTGGGATGTGTTGATTAGTCTTTGGTTAATACCGTGACTGCTGCTCCCACACTTGACGTGCCAGCCTAACCTCACTTAAACTAATTAAATTAAATTTAATCCCGACTTCAGAAACAAGTAATGGGCGTACTAGTGACAGTGGGCCTCCTACGCAGTATGGATGTAACTCACTGTATACTAATCCTTAGGTTCACAAGGAGGCATCATGGCCGGTACTGCGCTCAACCATCGTCACTTTTCCGGCCTGTATGTCTGGTCTCAGTTTACATTTGGGTGGACTAGGAACAAACCACGACCCTTAGGAGAGGAGGTGAGAGCCTTATCAACGCTGCTGCCGCACCTCATAAAGTGTCCCATAGGCCTGACGGCCAATTAGAGGCAGTGCAGATACAATACACTGTAGGAAAAGATTTTTTATTTTTTTGGGTACAAAAGAAGGGTGTGGTCACCACCGTACTCGACGGAGTTCACTTACAGAAATGTAAGGTTAGGTATCCACCATAGCTGGGTGAACTGAGGAGTCCTGCCCTGGGCGTAAACCAGAGACTTTATAGGACAAGAGATGAGCTTTGTTTCCATTTATCTGTCTCACCCCATGAGTAGTAATGATAAGCAATATTTACCTCACGCTACGGCCACATGCACCTGGGGAGTGTATTTAACATGCGGCGTACTCGGCTGACTGTGTTAGTTAACTGAAATACCTGTACACTCGAGGGAGGTGTCACCTTACGCCGGGTGATGCCTTTTTCAAATACGTGACCTTTGACAGTTGGCCTTTTAATACTAACACATAGCAGCCAGCCAAGAGACCTTTATATCCATTTGTCAGTACATAGTTAAAGGGAGAATAGTCTAATATTTGTTTATTTAAAAGTTGACGTTAACATTGTAATTTACTTCAGAAAATTCACATAAAATCACCTGGAAAATATGAATAATTCAGTTGTGTTTGAAGGATTTTTTCCCCATTTTTATCTTAGATATGCGATAAATTGTCTTCTTATCTGACCTTATATAACCCTTTCGACCCACAGGCGCTGAAAATTTATTTTCTGGAAATGACAAATATTTATTCACTTTAACACGTGTGACAACATTTTGTCTTTGATGTCCATTGAGTAAAAGATCTTGTTATTTATGTTGCTGGCATGTATTAGTCCTGGGGAGAGAGGACAATATACGCTCACAGAATAGGAGTGGATCAGAGAAGTTTTTAGCAGTAGATCAAATATATATATATATATATATATATATATATATATATATATATATATATATATATATATATATATATATATATATATATATATATATATATATATATATATGTGTGTGTATGTGTGTGTGTGTGTGTCTAGATGACATCACATATTTTTTTATAATATATTGTGATAGATTATGGGTTTATGACATGTAGGAGGAGGAAGCAAAGTGTAAATCAGAAGATATAGGATTTGTGTAAATAGCAGAACAAAAATACTAATCTACAAAAAACAGTTGAAAAGAATAGAAACTAAGTAAAGCTTAATTGAAATGTAAACACACATCGCTGGTCTGATCTAGTGTTGGTGAGTAGTCACTTCTTCAGTCTTGAATACGATGTCAACCAAATTTGGCAGCTGACCCACACCGACCCCCCCCCACCAGTAGTGAACCTATGCACCTGTGTGTTGACCAGACGGGGACGAGCACTTGTGTAACCTGATACACCTCATCCAGTTATTATATAAAGTTTAACACTTTTTTCCCTTGTATGAACTAGTTGTGTAGGATCTGTTTCCTGTTTCATAAAAGAATAATGTACAAGCTTAAGCCCCATAGCTCGCTGCCTCGCCCGTAAACATTCTTACGTTCGACCATTTATTCTACACCGGCTTATGCTGAGACGCTGAGGTAGGGGTTGGAGAGCGAGACAGGTACCCCACACCCAGTCACTGTGAGGTAGTTTCCAGACGTCAGTGAACATTAAAAACCAACTCTTATCAGCCTATATCTTATACAGTGTTTCTATGTGGAGATTGAAGGCCATTTAAGTGCAAGATATACTATACGACATTATAATCAGATCAAATATATAATTTTCTTTGAAGTATATTACAGTCTTTCACTATTTACCAAGATGGGCGTATTGATCCCCCCCCCCCGCACACACACAAAAGCGTTTCTGTATTAACACATAAAGAACAGCTCCCAACAGTAATTACAAATGATTGCTTATGAAACACAATTTAAAACTACCTCAGGAGTTCCAACATGGATTTCACATTAAGAGCGTCTTCAGGCTAGATTGAAGTACAGACGCCGAGAATAGACTGGGGCGTTGCATGGGCCGCCTGCAATCACTTAATTAAACGAGAAAGGTATGGGACAGGTACGAACAGGCGACGTGAGACACTACCTTCGTACCACCACCTACTGTACCACCACCTACTGTACCACCACCTACTGTACCATCACATACTGTACCACCACCTACTGTACCACCACCTACTGTACCACCACCTACTGTACCATCTGTACCACTGCCATCACATACTGTACCCACCACCTGCTGTACAACAGCATCACATACTGTACCATCACCTACTGTACTTATCACATACTGTACCACCACCTATTGTACCACCACATAGTGCATATACTACTGTACCACCACCTATTGTCCCCACATACTGCCACCACACATACTGTACCATCACACCACACTGTACCACCACCTCTGTGCCACCATGCTGTACCACATGCTGTACCATCACATACTGTACACACACCTACTGTACCATCACATACTGCACACCTGCTGTACCATCACATGCTGTACCCCACATACTGTGTACCCCACCACCTACTGTACCACCACACCTACTGTGCCATGCATACTGTACCACCACCTACCAGTGCATCACATACCACTTACCATCACATGCTGTACCACCACCTGTTGTCACACAGTGCACCAGCTACTGTACCACACATCCACCACCACACACGCCTGCACACATGCATGCACCACCTGCTGTATACTGTACCATACTGTACCATCACATACTGTACCACCACCTACTGTGCCATCACATACTGTACCACCACCTGTGCCACACATACTGTACCACCACATACTGTACCATCACATACTGTACCACCACCTGCTGTACACACCACTGTACCATCACATACTGTACTGCATCACATACTGTACCATCACCTACTGTACCACCACCTACTGTACCATCACCTACTGTACCATCACATACTGTACCACCACCTACTGTACCACCACCTACTGTACCATCACCTACTGTACCATCACATACTGTACCACCACCTACTGTACCACCACCTACTGTACCATCACATACTGTACCACCACCTACTGCACCACCACCTACTGTACCATCACATACTGTACCATCACATACTGCACCACCACCTACTGTACCACCACCTACTGTACCATCACCTACTGTACCACCACCTACTGTACCATCACATACTGTACCACCACCTACTGTACCACCACCTACTGTACCATCACATACTGTACCACCACCTACTGTACCACCACCTACTGTACCATCACATACTGTACCATCACATACTGCACCACCACCTACTGTACCACCACCTACTGTACCATCACCTACTGTACCACCACCTACTGTACCATCACATACTGTACCACCACCTACTGTACCACCACCTACTGTACCACCACCTACTGTACCACATCACATACATTACTGTACCACCACCCACTGTACCATCACCTACTGTACCATCACCTACTGTACCATCACATACTGTAACCACCACCTACTGTACCACCACCTACTGTACCACCACCTACTGTACCACCACCTGTTGTACCATCACCTACTGTACCACCACCTATTGTACTATCACCTACTGCATCACCACATACTTACCACCACCTACTGTACCATTACATACTGTACCATCACACTGTACCACCACATACTGTACCACCACCTATTGTCCCACCACCTACTGTACCATCACATCTATACCACCACCTATTGAAACACCACCTACTGGACCACCACCTACTGTACCATCACTTACTGTACCTTCACCTACTATACCACCGCCTATTGTACCACCACTTATTGTACCGCCACTTACTGTACCGCCACATATTGTACCACCACCTATT